AACAACAACAACAACAACAAAAAACACAAAGAAGTTTAGGCTTACTGGTCTAGTAGGCATTGACAGAATCCTGAGAGAATCCTTAGTCATTCTTCAAATATGGAAAAAATCTAATCTATATGGTATTGATCGCCATTGAGTTGAGCCCAGCTCATTCATAACGATGCTACGAACAACAGGCCTGAAGCTTTTCTATAACTATTGACATTTGTCAAGGTTTATAGTTTCCAGAGTCATGCTATTTAGGAAATGGATGCCAGTCCTGATACATATATAGAAATAGACAGACCTATATGTTACCAGTAACACTAGTTAAATACTAAACTACAGAAGATCAAAAGAGCAATCTTTATTCAAGAATAAAGGCCAGAAGGCAGGAAGTAGTAAAACAGAAGGATTTAATAGAAATGATTAGAGATATGAGATGAGAAAGAGTGATTACAAGGTGGATATTGCAACTAATGGATATTAATGACTGAATGAAAACCCAATATGTTTTGTAAACTTTCACTCAAATCACAATATACAAATTCAATAAATGCCTCTCAATTGAATGCTGTCATCAAATGCTAAAATTAACTTAAGACATAAATTTCCATTTTAAATTTAATTGAAAAGAACGCAAAAGCCTTTGCCATTGAGTCAATTTTGACTCATTGTGCCCTCCATCAGGTTTCTGAGGTTGTAAATCTTTACAGGAGGATACTGCCCATCCTTTCCTAGAGCAACAGCTGTTTATTAGAACTGCCAACCTTGAAGTTCTCTCTCTTCACTGGTAAGTTGTACCAACTTATAGATGATCTTCCATTGGATTTCCAAAGGTATAAATCTGACAGAATATTTCCCAGATTTCTCTTTCAGACTCATTGTTGAAACATGGCCCATGTGTTAGCAGTGTAACTCCCTATGATTACATCATCAAAGTAGCCAAATATTAAACTTATTACGGCACCAGGATATCATAAGTAAAATATTTAGTGAAAAGTCAGAATTATCTTGTTTGCATACCATTTATATATATATATATA